GTGGCTAAATTTATAGTGATATTTCAATTGGAAAAAATTCGACAGTAAAATTTTTAAGTTGTATCAATCTTATTAGTAGTAAAAACACAAAAATCGACGTTTTTTTCTTTGCACAATGAAAGGAAAATCTTCATTATTTGTTACAGCCAACTAGTTTCAGTAGCACAGCCCTGATGATGGATGGTAATTGTATTACCGAAACTAGTCAGTTGTAACCAATAATAAAGATTTGCCTTTCTTTGTGCAAAAACAAAAACAACAACAAAACACGTCGGTATTTGTGTTTTTCACTCTTAGTATAGTAGCATAATGTGTTCGAAAATAAACTGCATCAATCGTGTTTGGTTTTGAATGTATAGTACTTTACCCCCCACTATGAGGCCTACTTTTTATTTCCTTCGCTCTTCCAAGCAGCGCTGATGAGCTGTGAATTCAGCAAAACTAGTCTGTTGCAGAGAAAGTAGCGAATCAGAGAATAAGTTAGGCTTCTACGTCATCTTTTCTTCACTGAAATTCATGTTTTGACGAGGAAAAGAAATTCACAAATAAATAACCAGTTGTGTAAACCATATTACTTAGAGATAGATATGAAGGTGTTATATATATATGTTTACAGATAGATGTGAAGGTATTATAAGCTATTTACAGATAAATATGAAGGTGTTATAAGTGCTTACAGATAGATATGGAGGTGTTATAAGTGTTTAAGATTATCCTTCTTCTGTCAATAAGATCTTATATTGGTGTTATTGAGAGTGGTCGGACCCAGGGCCGCCGAGACCTATCATGGGGATCCGGGGAACAAGTAGTTTGTGCCCTCCCTAAATTAAGCAGCGTACACGTTTAAGTAATCAAAGGTGTGATCAATGTTTGCTTAAACGTTCCATACACATATTTTTGCCGCTCTCATAGTGTCAAAAACTTACGTTTTTTAGTCGTATGTAGCAAAGTAAGTATATGGGTGTGTTGGGCTAAGGATTCTTCTACAGTAGACGTCTGTGACTTGTTGGCCATAAATTCGACAATAAACGAACAGCATGCACTCCACTTGTTTTTAAAATAATATACATAATAGAAACAAGTTGAACGTATATACAAAATTCTTTACACTATGGAGATCATAGTTGTATCTTAAATACCATAAAGTTATCTTCTCTTGTCAAAAGTCTACTTAGGCCTATTCAATTGCTTTAGAATTCAGTTAACAAGCCGAACTATTTTTTTCTCTGTACTTCCAATAATTGTCTGCTCTTTCGTACTTCCAAGTAATCGTCTGTTTTTCGTCAAATTCCACACAGGCGGGTTTAATTAGCTTAGAACACCCTTGATAAGTCAAATTATTCTCTTTATCTCTTTCAAACTATTAATTTCACTCTAACATATCAACCGTTAGACCTTTAATTCTTTCGACGGTTAACTTTGCGTTTTCTAACTTTTCTCTCACCGAACTTCTCTTTCCCGTGACTTTTTACTCTTTCACTCTTCTGTTCCCGCTCGTCTGGTCACCGTTGTTTATATGTCTGTCACTTAGGCCTTCTAGAAATCTTTATAGCCTCGACATAAATGGATTACACAGAACGTTCGATAGCCTCAGCATCAATGAATTAGAAACACAAAATAAATAAATTAATGATACTATCTACACTAAA